CGCTCTTCCTATATATAAAGAGAGAGGGGATTAACGTGGGGAATTAAATAATTGCGGATTCCTGAGAACTTCGTCCAGCTGCATGTCTCACACAGTTCTGTGCGAATTTGCTGATCCAGGTCATCAAGTTTTAGTGTATCACTTCTATCGGCAGATCAGCGTGCGAAATCTGGCCAAAGATATTGTGTTCGCAGACCATGATTTCGTAGAGATGAAATTTATAAATTGGGATTTCGAAACTTCGAGAAGTGTAGGAGGAAGCTGTTGGTGAGTCGGCATAGTGGAAGTCTGGAAATTAAAGAATTCGATAGAGTCCAGTCTTGTGTAGAAAGGATTCAAGTATTTGTCGGTGATAACAGGAACACGAAAACTACCATTGACCGCTTTCACCAACTTGGTGAAAGCGTTCCTTGGTTTGTGAGGCTTTACCACCTTCAGTTCTTCATGAGTTCTGTCTTATGTTTCCTATCGTTTTTTTCAGCTTTGACAAAGATTGTACTGCCTACTACAGCGACGAGAATCGCATGCCTGTGACTTGGTTCAGGACGCTGCTTCTATTTCTGGAATTTTATCGACATTGCGTCCGGCCAGACGACCGGACTTCACTCATCAAACTTTGCAGGCGACACGAACATCCACAAGTCACCGCAGAGATTCGAGCACTTCTTTCTCTTGTACCAAACACCTCTTCGGCTGTTTGAATACAAAATCTTTGAAGCAACCAACGCCTTTTCTACTCAATTTGTGGTTACAGCGGCTACGTGGTCGTGTTTAGGTAGTGTGCAACGAAAGTTTATATGAAGGGAATATAATGTGTGAAATAACCACACGACAAAAGATGGTGAGGGATGTCTTTCGGACGCTCGAAAGGCTGCGGTTCCTCATCATAAGAAACACTATTCTGTGTATCCGAACGATTTCCTACCTTGAAGTGTCGCCCGACTGCTTTTCTGAGGTACATAACTTTATTCCCTTCGAATACGGATAAGCTTCCGTGGATGGATCGTTAATTCAGCCGCCATATCACCCAGTCGTTGGCCGTGTTTAAATCTGGGTTGAGCTTCACTTGCCGATTCTTGAGTTCTTCTGGTGAGGAAACCTCGGTGGACCTCGCTTTTTGAGTGAACTGAGGTCGTATCTTTCAGGACTAAATTTTAAGATGTAAGGGTTTGTTCGGTGATTTTAGCACCGCTCCTGCGTAACGGATGCTCAAACGACTGCAGACGTCGTCGTTGAAGGAGGTTAGGTAGGCGAAGTAGGTCGGATCTCTGGATGGTGGACTCATAATAAGTTTGAAGCACCACTGGTCAAAAGCCTCTGACTTTCTGATAACGGGATGGGTGGTTAAGCTGAAGACCCAGATTGCCCTGCGCAAACTAATGGACGAGACCCAGCTATATGAGGGCTTGTTGGGCATCGTTTATACGCCGCCGACTTTCTTCTAGTGAGTTAGATTACTGAGCAAGTGAGACATTTTGGAGGTTGACGCGCCATCCTACGCACTAGAATGTCTGGTTCGAACTCAACCTCAACATCTCGACTGCTCCCGTCTAGACTTGAGCCACCTAGCCACATCCCAGCCCTCGTGCTTCCTACCGTTGGCATGGCAGCTAGACACCGAAAGCTTGCTGAAGCTCGACGATCTTTTTATTGTTATTGTCATTGTTACTCTAGACGCGATCGTCTAAGAACCTGGGTTACTTTAGAGGAATCACTGGCTATAATTCTGAGTTGTCATCAAGTCATTCATCTCCTTGGTTGGCTGACATGTTTTCAATGTTTGCTTGAACAGCTTCGTGAGCAGACACTGAACCCAGACCCATACTCCGCTTGGATTCAAGCAAACCATGACACCTGCCCTTGGAGTGTAAGTTCACTTATTACTAGTCAGTTGGGTTTCTGGTGAGCTCCAATGAAGGTGAAGCTGGAGCCCAATGTTTCCTTTGGAGTGAACTCACTAGGATATGCGGTGCACCGTTCAGACAAGTGTGATGTGAACTCAAGGATTACTGAATTCACCAAAGCATGATTTCTGTGCATCTGTGTTACAAAAGCGGTGTTTCGTTTGAGTTTTTTAACTGAACTTTATGGGCGCAGGCATTTCCTGGGTCTTCTACCCTACTTCACCAAAATTTTAAATACTCTGTCCGCAGGTCCCAGCACTACGACTGACCGTGTTAGTCGCCCTGCATCACACAACTGTAGCTTCTGTACGTCCGACCCTAAACATTTCGAAGGCTGTCTTCAAACCATAAAACCCTGTCTACTTAGCCACCTTTAATGTTTGCTCACCAAAGCAAGCAGGACAACAGGTGATGCTTGCTCGTACGCTGGATTCCCTCTGCATTAATGTATGCTGTATGTTGACCAAACCGGGGATATTGGAGATCCCATCGCTCGATCTCGTCCTTGAGATTATATAATCAAGTCAAAAACAAAGTGACTGGGGTTTAGACAAGTTTATGCCTTCAACTATCTCGTCTGCAGACAGGTGCGTTCGTTCGTGCAGCGTTTTGTCTGCAAGTAACACCCTTCTCGCTACTTCCAGAGTGTGCGCCTTGGGAACAGTGGTAAACATGGAACTGTAATCGAAGCTACCAAGTACAGCGTCTAGCTCTAACTGAAACCCAGCTACTTTTTTGTCAGTCATACGAATTTGGTTGTGTGTGCGACTTACCGGCAAGTGGTTTAAGGATACCTCTCAGGAATCTGGCCAGCTCATGTTGTGGTGAACATATGCCATCCAGAATTGGTTTTATGGGGACACCTTCCTTGTGGACTTTTGGTGACCCATGAAACCGTGGTTTGATTGCACTTTTTGGGTACAATCGGTGCCATTTGCCTTGCCTCAGATGGTTTATCACAGATCTTGGCTACCTCCCAACTTCAGCCTTATTCATTATTGACGAAATCATCCTGTTACTAATTTGTCGGTAAGGCCCATCGGCTACGTGTTGTTTAACTTTCTGCAGATGCTCACTGTAATTCATGACGACCAAGGCCTAACCTTTTCTGGATTGTAATTACCATACCGTCTACATGTTTAATGTTTTTAGGCGCTTCGCTCTGCCGGTGCAATCTTTGGAACCCCTGAGTGCTAGGACTTTAGGGCTGTGACCATCTGTACACGGAATTTCTCCGTTTCCATTGAAGGAAGCCTCTGAAACACAGGCCAAACACTAGGAACGATCTCTTATGCCCTATGACTGTTTTACTCACTGCTAAATTCAATCCCTTTTCTAACGGACAACTTTCTTAGTCACCTAAGGTGCTATCTGACTACGCTGCAATAATAAGCACATGGTGCACTCTTTTCTATTAGTTTACTAGAACAGCGAGTCGTGGAAGGACATTTCTCGAACTTACATATTTGTTCGTCTTTGCACTGTTTATCTTGTGCTTAGTTTTACTTCCCTCGAAATCTGCAGGGCAACGTTTTGCTTTTGACACAAAAACAAGACCACAAAATCCGGTTTCAACATGAAGACAATTCCAACCAGTCTACCGTAAATTTCAGTCATCTCCACTAACCAACAAACAGGAAATTCAGGCCTATACCCAGCACTGATCAAGTCGACTAGTCATAAGAAACCTCACGGGTCAGTTCCCCAACTGACTTAAAGCCCAGACAACCTGGCTACTTACTCACTTGGCTTGAAGAAGCTTTTGTGTCAAAATTGAAACGTTTTCCAGCAATAAATCCACAGATTGTTTATCAAACCTCATAAAACGAGAACTAGATGAACTTTGTGGTCGTACGGAGGTGAAGCAATAGTGTCGACAGTGATGTTACTTTCTCTGATGACGTTCTACGATTGTTTTAATCATAACTGAGATGCACACCGTAACCCTAAAGTTATAGTAATTGTGTTAGACTTCCTCATCTACAATTTTTGTTGCCGAATAACGTCTTTTGTCTTCTCTTGACTTCTTTCTGTCTATCTGGTCGTTTCGAAGGAGCGTATATCCATTCGAATCACGGTTGTTCATTCATGATATGCTGACCCAGTAAATAGCCACCACTTTGGGCTGCAGGTGGAAATCACCTTACATGACCGGAATTCGCCAATCTTTTCGTGATCACAGATGGACTGCCATAGTGAATTGTTCGTCGAGCTCGACAGTATTCCTGATGATGATAAACTCATTCCCAGTAGCACCAAATTGATCTAGATAGTGCTCTTCTCTCACGGAAATTAGTCTATGCAGAATTTATGTACAGAGGGTGTATTGAAACATACAGAGCAGTACAAAGGGTTTTAGGTGGACAATTATCAGTTGAACAAAGTTCCTTATTTTTGTCGCTTCAGTTCACTTTTTGGTTGCTTTGTTGCTGTAGGTCATCGTTTTGTGTGAGCAGCACACTTTTGTGAAATGGAAAGTCGATAACCTGAGTAGAAATGCGGCCAGCTCTTATGTCGATTATGTAATGGCACATACCGAAGAAATCGATCGTCCATCTGGAGAGTGACTGCACATTCCTCCAGATCAGTGGGATGACAGGATACGGTGTTGTTGATAGAAGCTTGTCGCAGTTCTCTCGATTGTATGGAGTGTCATACTCAGTATAAAAACACTGCTGTCCAAGTTTGTTGGTAACGCGTATCATGTGGCTAAATTCTGTGCTGGTGATTGTTTTTCTCTCCGCTGGTCAAGCTGATTTCGTTGCCGGTGAGTTGATTATGCTAGTCTCGTTATGTTACCAGTAGGTTCATGATTATGGTGCTTGTATTTCAGCGTAGTGTAGCCCTCAGTTTCAACCTGATTGACGGATCCGTTGGTACCTAGCCCTGAATGTCAAGAATAGAGTGCGTATGTTGGGACGGTTCAAGCACTGCTGAGTGTTATGTTTCATAGGCGGGTACTGGTTTAGCTCGTAAGAATCATTTGGGGACTAGCTCCGAATGATCGCCACCGTTTAAAGCACCGCGCCTCTATCACAAGGCGATGACTGCGGTGTCTTAATACTTTTCTTATTGCGGAGTAGAAAACGCCATATACACGCATGCGCAAGTGTAACCAACTTTTTACTCCTGGGTGAAAAGTGTTTCGCTTGTCAAACTCTTATACCGGTTCTTGCTATGCTTTAGAGTTTGTTTCTAAGAGAAATTTGTAGGTTACTTTCGGCATGATTCCCAGTTTTTTCAAGTCCTCGTGCAATTTTACGACAATTTTGTAGCAAGTTTATCATTACTGAACGCTCGTCAGTCAAGTCCAATAAATCAGTACATATGAGGTTCGTGTGATTCACGTAATAGCATTACGGGATACATTTGAGGATACAAATTTATGTTCTATTGCACGAAGCTATCATCCATCCCAATTGAATACATTCGTTGTACGAGTGTTTGAGCAGTAATCTAGTTTAATTGCATAGGCATGCTAGGTAGCATACTCTAAACTAGCTAGATGGCACCTTTTGAGGTTACGTTTCGCTAATAGATAGTGAATGTGTCAGACAAATAATCCACCGATCTAGTTTCCTTGATTTAACTTTCATACCCACTTGGTGTACAGCTAAGAGATCTGATTAACTCGTGTCCCCTGGGCGTACGGCTACCATCAAAGACGTTCTTGATTTAACATCTGAGAAAGGACAGCTTAAAAACCCCAAAAGTTCAAAACTAGCTGGACCTTAGTAGCAAATGCACTTTTTAGGAGAACATGTAACGACGTGTACATAAAGTTTACTGCATTGCCA